AAGCCCGGGAAGCAACAAGCTCATTAGTCGCTTCCGCTCAATCCTCTGGCCAACTCCGCTTCATGCTGACCAGTGCAGTTTGGCGCTCGGCGTCGGGAGAACCCGAGGACCCACTGGATCCTTCTCTGCCCGAATCAGCAGGCGGGCCCGTCCGCGTGGCCTGTTGCGGTCTCACTATTCTCTTATTTATCTTCTTGTCCTGGGTCAACTTTAGCAATCTTTCACGACGTTCGCCATGTGACCTACAAGGGAAGCGAACCAGGGTTAGCTACGTACGATTAAAGGCAATTAAAAAGGAATAACAATAAGAGCAAAGCAAGAAACCTAAGAGATCTACGACCTGCCCGTAGGATTGGAATTCGACGAGCGTCTTGGTATTAATCGGGCGCGCCTCGAACGTCGGATAGCCATCCTCGTCAAGAATGTCGTCCCCTTCCCTAGTGACCCACCGAGCAGGAAAGAAGTCGTCAATAAACTTGTTTAGGACGCCATAAGCCTCCTCGTCCTCGGCACTCATACCCCCAGCAGGAGTATGGTAGTGCCCAGGACCATGGTCGTAATGAACCGAACACCAATGAATGGGAAACCTGGAAATCCGCCCGACCTCGGGATTACCCTCGGCGTCCAAACAGGGCTCCCCATCCTCGTCGACCACAGTGGCCGGTTCGAACAAAGAATCTAAGGCCGTCTGGGTGGACGGTTGCAATATATACCATTTGTCTTTAAAATCCCGCACGGAGTCCATGTACATCCTAAACAGTCTCTTCGACTGCTTAAGGGACACCCAGGTGTGTTTCCCTCCTCGGGACTGCCGTTACAGGTGGAAAACCCTGAAGAACAGGGAATCGTCGCCCCAATTCTCAGGAAACGACAAGTGAGCTCGAATGCCCGGAGAAAGGCAATCGTGTTGGGGTGGAGTTGGGAGGGGGCTAGGTTCATATGGTTGAATACCCCGACCTGGAAGTCGTTGAAGGGCAACCGAAGACCAAGATCTTTGAACATGATCTCGTACATAGGGAACGCATCTTGGGTGAACTCCGAACAATTGCGAGCATCCCTCGCCAGCCTCATTATCTTAAAGTTCCTTTGAAATCCTTCTTGACTACTGTCGTACTCGACGACGGTATAAGCTTGTCTACTACGATGACTATACACCGAAGCTATTCCCCGGGGCTCAGCACCCACCCAATCCAGTGTGGGGTCATCGACGGTGTCGACCAAGGTAATAGTCTCTTCCGCTGTGCTTATATCCTTGATGTTATTATGCCCCGAGGACTCGGGAATATCGGCCATTTACCTGCAAAGTACAGGAAACCGATGAATTCGATAGCAAATCCGCTTGCCCGCCACAAAGACGGGGAGGAGTAAGCAACACTCAGATCGAGTCTACATCCATTCGCGAGAGAAACGAGAAACAAGTGGATCTCAACCAAACACTGACACCCCGGCGCCAGCCACACATCAATCATGAACGACGCGAGCATAACATGAGTGCCCCAGGCGAAGCATGAATCGCGCGACCAAGTTCATAATTTTGCTTACCCGGTACAAGAATACTACGGGGAAACTAGCCTACATACTAACGAAAGGATGAATATCCCGGTCAAGTTCATGAATCTACTAACCAAAACACATGATTATCACGGGCAAGATCATGAACCATATGCCTAAACTTATGAATATCCCGGGCACAACCATGAATCAAGCGCCTAGCGCACTTAAATCTACCGGGCATAATCCCCAGACATAAGTTTCTACTAGCAAAACATCGTCAAAACTATCTACAACACGAGAAATCAAAGGGAAAGGACACTTACTTGGAAGAAGATGTGAAGAACGGCGGTGGTGGAGGTAATCGGACAGCGAACGGCACGGCGGTCTCAACGGTGTTATGGAAACTCACGACAGTAAAAACAGAGAAAATATGAGAAGCGTGAAGAGGTGAAACGAACCGTGGGCCATGGAATCCTATTTATAGAGATGACGTGGAATATGAAACGTTGCACCGGGGAACCACGAACCGCCCCCGTCCTCGACGCCTACTTGCCTAGACAATGATGGCCCTATTCACTAGGGCGGCGTTGTGATTTCCAAGGACTACACCACGTGTCCAACAGATGCAACTGACGCATCTCCGCGAGCAATCCTCGAGCACTCCTCGACATGGAAAATCCCGACATCGGGCACAAGGTCCCCGCGAAAGAGAGAATTGGGATCAAGTCACAACTCCTGTACCAGGAGCAACAACTTGGGGGGCTCCTGTTCTGGACTGGGCCTTCCCATGGCCCAAATCACCAGTAAGGCCCAATCCAAACCGTGCCACGTGCTATGCTAGGAACCAGATCCCCCGAGCATACCCCAATCACGGGCTGTAGGACTAATACAACTATGCCCGCCGCTGCCTGCGACGAGAGGCGTCCCCGACCAAGGACATCCCAACCCGAGCCTTGCTCGAGCATCCTCCCCGTAGGGAAAACTCTCATCCCCTCCGGATGTTTCGGAGTCCTTAGAGCTCCGGGAAGATCGCGTCTTCGTTCTTCCTTATTCTTCGCAGAGCATCATCCAGGCAGGGGACCACGTGCAGGTCCCCACTACTCACGTAGAACCTGGCAGTCCCTTTGTTGGGCCGATTTTGGTCAGTCCAATAAAAGGACCTTGGCCCAGCGCTGTGGGCTATAAATACCCTCTGTTTCAAGAGGGTCAGGTATTCATTCATTACACACCTACATACAATTCACCTGCTCATTCCGTCTCTTACTTTATCATCAGAGTGTCTTGCAGGTACCCTCCCTATCTCTTTCAAATCCAGTTCGAACCAGCTGTGACGATCCAACTCTGATCAGGTCCGATCAAAAACATATGAGACACTAAACCATTATACAATATACAAAGCTCAAAACTGTACATGATTTGTTTCAAGATGCTAACAAAGTATACCTTTTCAGAAGCCTGTTAAAAAGATCTAACCGTCTCAAAGGACGATGCTCCCATTCTAGTCTCCAACTTATAAACCTCACAACATGTACGCACACACAACTGATATAATGATCAGACTTTTCACAAGTAGATTTCAAACTCAATGTCATGACAACATATAACAAAACTGACATGAAAAGTCAAGATCTACTCACTCATTTGGCTTGAAAACAGCTAGAACCAAATAATATTAAAATTTCTAAATACCAGAATTGGCTGGGCATTAAAATGAACTGTGGCCAATAACAAATAAGCAAATGCCTTCCCTAATCTTCTCTCTGCAATTCCTATTAGATCACGTTCCTTCAAAGCCATTGACCAACCTTAAGACTGAATGGGTGTAGGTTCACAAGAGAATTCGTTGCTCCAGTTTTGTTAAAAGTATATCTAATAAAAGTATCAACAACAAACAAAAAAATATTAGAAAACTAATGTATCAAATGCAAATCTAAGCAAATTGTATTGCTGCATGGCTCCATGAAGCCACTGTTCTAAATTTTTGTTGTTAGCATACTCATAAACCAACAATCTGAAATTAACACGTCATTTCCATTGTTGATTTATATATAAGTGAAGAAGAATAATAAAAAATTAGATATTTAATTGAACCTCGAATAAAATCTAAATAAAGATGGTATCGTTGCCTGTTAGTTCCTTCAATATACTAAATTTTATACACATTATTAATCAAAATTTAACATTATTTCACATTAGTTAGTTATAGTCCAGCCAATGCAGGACAACACATACCAGCTCATCCCAAAAACAATATAATTGATAACAACACTAAATATCAACAAAAAGAGCATCTCTATTGCTAGCTATCATATTTCCTATAAACTACATGTCTTCTTTTCAGATTAGTAAGAAATGGAGTTAAAATCACATTTAAAATAACTTTAAGGACTACTAAAATGTATACATGCAATATTATAAATTAAACAAAAAAAAAACATACAACACCTAATGACTTAAACTTGAGTCTTTATTATCAGATTGTCAGAAGTGTCAACAAAACCATCATATACCTTCGAAAGCTCCATAAACTCTTTTCATACCCAATCATGCTCCTTCTTCCAAAATCGATGCAATGTATCTAAAAAAATTCAAGTAAAATGGGTTAGCAATGCTGTTGAAAAAGAAAATGTAACTCCAATAACACATGTAATTATTTACCAACAAACCAGAATAATTTGATTTCTTGGTGTCTTTGTTAACCACAATCCACAACTATTATAAATGGTGCAAAATGACTTCATCCTGCATAACCACAAAATGAGGGAAGAGAAAAAAAAAAAAGAGTCAAGTATTGTGAGATATAGAAAGTAGCTAGTAAAATGAACAATCATTAATATAATATCGAAATTCAAGAACCAAATCTAAAAGTAGTTCGTCATGATTAGCAACACCCGAAATAGAGAGAGAGGTGATTGCATACATCACAACCTTGTGGATAAATTAAAATATATCTGTCACATACCATACTAAAATTAGGTAAAAAAAACTAAAAACTAAAAAAAACTAAAAATTAAAATCTCACATTAATTAAAAAAAATAAGATTTAACATTTTATAACTGAGAGAACTCAGACACTTATCACCTTAAAATTTTAGATAGATGTTTCTCATAACTTTTTTTTTTAATATTCCTAATATTCTAAAAAATTTTAGTACTCGCTATATTCTAAAAAAATAATTAATTGATAAATAATAAAAATTAATTTTTTATTTATTTTTATCAAACATATTATTTTCTTATACGATAGATTTGATATGCATTATTTTACCGGATCAATTAATAATTACTGTTTGATTGTCGTAAGTGTTTCACTTTTACTTTAATCACATTTAAAATACAGTAATTACCATAAAAAAAACCTTTTCAAATACACCCTCTTAAACCGTAAGAAAAAAAACAAAACAAAACGCAGCAATAGCAAAATTGTAGCTAGGGTTTGAGTGGGTTGATCGATCAGAAAAATTTGCTGCTTCCAATTCTAATCGCGTTGCCGTCGTTGTGTGGCCATGGATTCTCTGCTAGCAACCTACGCCTCTTCTGACGAAGACGAAGACCACCACCAACCAATCCCATCCAAAACGACACCGTCTTCTTCCTCCCTCTCCTCCTCTCTTCCTCCACCCAAATCATCTCTCTTCAACTTTCTTCCTCCTCCCAAACAGCCCTCTTCCGACACACTTTCTTCTACTCCCGGAATCTCTTCCCTCCCTAAACCTAAATCCCAAATCCACGAAAAACCCAAAAGAGTCGTTCAATTCAAACCCCCAATCATTCCTTTACCAAAGCCCAATCTTGAAGACGATGAAGATGACGACGATGAAGAAGAAGAACGAAACAGAAGAAGAAAGTTGGAGTCTTCCATTCAAACTCCATCCGTGAAATCATTCTTGTCCACCATTCCCGCACCTAGAAATTCTTCCACTCTTGGTATTCAATCAATCTCTGGCTCTGGCAGAAGATCCATCCTTGAAACCACCACACCAGCTCCAGCACCGCGGCCAAGTTCCGGTGGTGGTTCTATCGGTTCAGTCACCGCAACCGCAGAGAGTAATGTTCATGAAGATCAAAATGGAACGGATTATGAAAATTATGAAAATTACCAATATGCCACTGACCAGTATGATAGTTATGGGAATTACCAATATGCAACTGATCACCATTATGATAATTCTGGTGCTAGCACTGGCACTGCTTCTAACGGTGATGGATATGCAAATTATGGTGCCTACGAGGGTTATGGACAGTATGAAAATAAATGGGTTGATAGGTCGGATCCATCAGCTCCGGAGGATTCTGGGATTAGTGAGAGTGTGTTGAAGTTTACTGGGAAGAGAGGTAGGAAGGAGGTTCCTGTGGAAGTGATTGAAGTGAAGCAAGATGAGTTGATGAAGAACAGACCAAGAGAGGATAAAGCTAAGCTTACTGGGTTAGCTTTTGGACCTTCTTACCAGGTATTGTTCAGTTTTCTTTTGCTTGCTAGGAACTTTTTTAAATGGTTGATGTAAATATCTTGCAAGAAAATACAGTCGATAGTTAATGCTACATAGATGATGATGTTATTATTGATGGGCAGTAACAAAAGACAATAAAATCATAAATGAAATTATTAGAGAGGAAATTGAAAAGCAAAAACTGAAAGATGGTGGAAAATAGATTTAGGTGGTTTGGGTATGTAGAGAAAAGACCTTTAGATTCTGTGTTAAGGAGAGTAGATCAGATGTAGAGGAGTCAAATAGCTAGAGGTAGAGGAAGACCTAGAAAAACTATAAGAGAAGTTATTAAGATCGATCTTAAGTTTAACGATTTGGATAGAAGCATGGTCCTGAATAGAACATTATGGTTGAAGTTGATCCATGTAGCCGATCTCATTTAGTGGGATAAGGCTTTGTTGTTGTTGTTGTTGTTGTTGTTGTCGTTGTCGTCTTATATGATTTTTTGGAATTGTCCGGGTGTGGAGAAGATGTATAGAAGCAACATTAAGGAGGATTTTAGATCAAATGGGAAATAGTCTTATAGTCAGAGGTAGTGGGAAATCAGGGGAAATTATGATCAAATCATTAAGCAGGTTTTGGAGTTACATTATCAGTCAATATTCCTTATAAACTATTTATGATAGGACATATTTGTAGCTAACTCCATCTAGCGATAAACTATTTGGCTAATTGTTGTTGTTTTTTGTTGACGATGATGATGATGTGTGTGTATTGTGTTTTTTATGAAACTTGGATTTGATTAAGTGTCAAGGTGAACAAATACTGAGATTGTGCTGTTTGTGTGTTTGTGTTAGATTTAGTTTAACTTAATTGGTTGTAAGCCGACCGAGGTATGGTGATTTTAGTAAAGCGCACATGTCGTTGAGACGGAACATGTGTGACTAAACAAAAACAATATGCGAAATAATTTTGAACCTTGTTAAATCCTACGTGAAGTTATGTTCTAACAGTATAGGAGATAGTAAACTCAATTGAGGGCGGGTGTTTTTGGTCACTGGTTGGATTCAAGAGAAACTGTAAAACATATTTTATTGAGAAAAAATGAACTCCCTTGTAAAAGCTGTCGAGCCTTCTTTATCCAGAACAGCTGCTATAAATAAAATAAGTCCTAAATTGCACAATTGATTTAGTTATAGCTATCTAGTATAAATCAAATTAAAGCAAATTGATAAGCATAAATAAAATGCAAAATAACATTGGTATAAGAGGCAAACTTAAGTTGGGTAAACAATACCCATTTAGCAATAATCCAGATAGCTATAAGTGGAGATTTGTAAAGGCAAGGTGTATTTACTTACATTGGTTCCTAAGGCAGGGGCTAGGGATTAACAACTAAACGCAGGGTAGAGCGCTTCAAACATTGCATCTGACATTTTTGTGTACAGAAAAGGAAATTCATGGCTTTAAAGATTTTGAATTTGTCAGGATCATTTAAAGCTAGAACTTTAGCAAAGCTCTGTATGGATTGACCCAACACAAGGATTGTTAGCACCTAGTGAAATTCGAACTTGAGACCTTGAGAGGAGCACACTCTCATGTCCCTAGCCTTCACCAACCGGCTAGCCCTCGAGGTTTTAAGAGGAAGCTGTCTGAATTAACACAATGGAATTTGACTGTTTTATGATCTATCTTTGAATTAACACACAATAGAGCATTTTGGCGTTAGTTAATTAACCCATGTAACCAATCTCATCTAGTAGGAAAACTTGGTTGTTGTTGTCATGTCTGTCTGTCTATGCATAAATCCAACTTATATTTTAAACATTAATTTCTGTTGCCACTTTTTGGATGCCTTTGCAACTACAAAGAAAACCTTTCAAATAGTTGTTAGTTGAGTCTGTTTCTTATAACATTCGAAAGAATTATGGTATAATATTGTTGGACACTTGGACTGTTCAATACTGTATTGTTGGATCCTCATCTTCTAGTGCCACTATCCCAATAAAAGACAATAGTAGTGATAACAAATTTTTTGGCATGTGTTGGTTTATAGTGGTAAGTGCTTAGCTGAAAATATTTTAAGCATGTGTTCTTGAGTTTGATTTTGGGTCCATATGTATATGGAAAAACTACTGTGTGAAGGGTGTATGCCTTTGCCACTATCATCATTCATCACATGACAACAATAAATCATAGTTCATGTTACACCATTTTTACAATTGGAGGCAGATAAAAAAAGTTAATTTTATTGGTGACATAAAAAGATAAATAATTTATTTTTCAGACAAAACCTGAAGTCCTTTTTTTTGTAACTGTCTTTTGTGTATTCCTATACCACTATCACCATTCATCACATGTCAATCATAAATCATAGTTCATTTTACACCATTTTTACAATTGGAGGCACATAGAAAAGAAGTTAATGTTACTGGTGACATAAAAAGGTTATCATTTATTTTTCAGACAAAACCTAGATTCCATTTTTTTTTGTAACGGTGTTTTTGGGGTGTAGTATCCACTTTTAATGGAATCTCCCTTTCTCCATCCACAATGCTCGAACTCGAAATCTTACTTAAGAGAACTGAGTTCAACTCTATTCATACCAATGTAATGTCGGTGGACAAAACCTAGAGCTCGATGTCATATCACATCAAAATTCAAATCTTTAAGAAATAGGAGATTTTGGTTGGTGGGGATTGTCGCTAGAAATTGTACACCTCCTTAAATTCTCTTTCTTACTTGCCTTAAAAAGTATGTTACTGTTATTACTATTTTGTATTTATCATTTTTCTTTCCTTTTGTAGCCTGTTTCAGCAAAGGGAAAGCCTTCAAAGCTGATGAAGAGAAAGCATCAAATTGGTTCATTGTACTTTGATATGAAACAAAATGAAATGAAACTCGCCGAGCGCCGTTCTAAGGGCATGCTTACCAAAGCTGAAACACAAGCGAAATATGGATGGTGATTTGGGGGATGATGCTGTAATTTTAAGAACTTCCATTTGTAAAAAGATTTACAAAGCCAGCTTTCAAATGTAGCTGCAGCACTTGTGTTATACTGTTCTGTATGCATACATTTACAGATTTACTCCAATTTAGTTGATCAATGCTTGATTTTTAAAATAATCATGAGGCAACATTATAATTTTTGTTAGTAAACTGTGAGAGAACCTATGTCACACATAACATTACTTGCTATCTTTTTAGTTGGAGTGTCACTCAAGTGTTTATTGACTGCTACCTTTCTCTTTAAAATCTAAATAACTTTTATCTGTTTATATAATTTGTTACTGAGATTCAGGTCCATCAAGAACAATAAACTAAATGATTTTTGAACAGACCAAAATGAGGGGACTGAGAAGGATGCATTTTTATATATCAAATGTGTTTGTTCACCACAATTTTACATACAAATCTGAAATTTGTAATGACCCACAGAAAGATGAATGTCAGCAATGAAGCTCCCCAAATCTTTGACTTGAAATACCTCTGATCAGAAGGTTGAGCCATTGAACCCAAAAAATGGGCGCTGCATCACAACACATAAAATCAGATCTAGAATGTCAGCAATGAAGGAATCAAATATATATTGTAAAATATATTCAAAATGATGGTGAAAATACATAAATCATGATCCAGATCAGTGTATGTTGAGAATTCATTGTCATAACTATTTCCACTAGAACTGTTTCCACAAAATGTGATGGGAGCTAGTATCTCATTACAAAAGAATAAGGAAGCTTCTTGGATTACAATGTTGCAGAGCTTCAAGGGTCTGCGCCTTTTAATGCCAAAAGGCCCCAACTCAATCAAAATGACAAGCTACCTCACTCTAATCTCTTCCTCATACCACACATTATTTTTTAAAATCAAAATATATTAATTGGATTCACTTTTAAGATAAGGTGTGTACAAGAAGAAAATTAGAGCAAGAGTACAAATGGACTGAAAAAACAGGCCCCAAAGCTTCAGATTGGCACAAATCCATAACAGAAACAACCCCATTACCAAACCATCCGAATAAGCGTACAACACAACGGCCAAAACCAAGAAAAGCTAAAACATAAACAACCCCATGGCAGGAGAGCCAGGGCTGACTTATCAGAAAAAATCAGCATTACACTAAAACAGACCAAACGAAGCCGCAACTCTGGACTGATACTATGTAGAATCTGCTCCCCATCAAAAACCAATCTTCCTATAATTCCCTCTTCGTATTTACATGCATAACATCACACTCCAACCTAACCAACTAACAAAGGAGTTACCGATCACAAAAATAACAATATCCATTGTTGCTTCATATATCTGGAATAATTTCCAAAAAGCCGATAAATTTTGGCACCTTAAATATTCACCTTTGGGGTGAAATAATTCTCAGGCACAATGTTCTCACAGTCTATCAAGTACAGTCTCAAGCCATATTACTGATTTTATCCTATTATTCAAATACTTAATGAGAATAATACATGAAATAGAGTACCACACATAACTAGATAAAGTTAGTTAACCTAGAATCATAATTGAATAGAATGAATATACCAGATGCCAGTTAAAAACAGAGAAAAACAGAAATTTACCTCGACATCATAAAACTTGACGTAGAATCTGGAGCTATCAATATACAGCTTAGTTTGAATAATTTCGGCAATAGTAGAACTCAATTTTCCATTAACAGTTGGACCAAGGCCTCCAATTGATACCAATTCTCCATAGGCAGCTGGCTCTTCAGTCCCACCAAATGCAATAGGCACTCCACCATTCAACAAAATCATCACATACTGAAACAGAACCCCACACATTTTTACATAAAACAACACAAGTTTAAGTCAAATTAAACTAAAAAAGTTCATAGATAAAACTACAATTGAGTGTTGCTGGCCTTAAGCCCATCATGGGTTGGATAAAGTTTTGTTTTTCTACAGACTAATTTGATCAAACAATTGGTGGTCAAGAATAAAGAATGTCTAAAAATATACTCAACAGATTCAGGTTTTCCAATGATCTTTGCAACAGCTTTGGTGGCATCCCTGAGAATGTCTGAAGCAATAACAGGGTCCACGGGAATGTTGGTGAAGAGGTTCAAAGTGGGCATTGCGTTGTTCCAGTTATCTCTTCAGGATAAGGTTTCTCTTCACACACCAATGTTTTTTGTTTGGTTTATTTTGGTGTTTGTCTCCAATATCTATACGAATTTCAATGAAAAATGGTTATTGTTGTCTTTAAAGTGATTTATAAAATCCCCTCTTTTAGTTTTTTATGATTAAAAGGTGTGTAAGACATGTATCGCCGAACCCATTCAAAATATTATTTATATAAAATTAATATATTACGCAGTGCAAAATTTAGAAATAGAAAAATTGTGTAAAAATCACTCCCAAATTATATAACATTATGAAAAATATTACATGCAAAAAATAAGTTACATTGTTAGATAAAAGTTAAATGTATTAAAATATGTGTCACTACTTAAATTTATATATATTAGTGCTTTCTTCTTTGACGTTTTCTTATTTGATTCTTTCTTAACGTCGTTCAATTCGATGAATTCTTTCATCCTTTTTAGAAAGTGATATGGTCAAGTTTCAGCATCTTGTGTGAAGTGTGTTGTCTACTCTGGTGATATTTTTGGTATAGGGCATCCCAATTTCAAATATAGTTGAACAAAATGTTGTGCTTTTGAAAATCACTCAATAAACATGATGCATCCAGATGGATTTTGAGGTTGTCTATCGTAAGCACTTGCTGTTAGATGTCTCATTTATGAGAAACACATTCATTTATCAATTGGTAGCAGACCACTAACAGAAGGAACAAGAGCATTGAGAATTGCATCGTAATTTTCTTTTTTCCCGTATAGCGATGTATATGATTCCCTATGCATCATCAACTTGTTTATAAGCTCGCGGAGGACAAATTGGTGGTTCTCCCCTTCTTTACCAAGCAATCCTGAAATAGCTCAAAAATCACAATTGCCATCACTTTTAACATCTACAATCCACTCAATGTATTTGTGCATAAAAATGACATCTCTTCAACGTGGATGATTTTTTTGTAACGGTGGTGGAGGATATAGTTTGCTAATGCCAACATCCTTGAACACATTTTTTTGTTTTGGATTTGGAGAATCTGGAAAATGTGCATCAACATGTTCAAAGTATGAAGGAGACCATCTTGTAGAGTTGTTGTTATGTGTCGGTTTGAGCTTTTTATGGACACCCTTTGTTTTAACGAATTCCGATGGTGATTTCAAATCAGTTGTTTCTGGATATGCAATCTTCCTTAGTTGCTCTTTGATGTGCAATTTTATGATGACATAGCTTTCAAAAATATTTCTTGGATTACTTCCCATTCCATCATAATAGTTGTACTTGATTGATCATCCTTCATCACACCACCATTATCAAACCTGAGCCTTTTTTAGTGAGTGAATTTGATCCATACATATATGTTTATCAAGCTTCATCATCTTTGAAATTAAACAAGCCCATGGGAGAAGGTACATCTTCCTAAGTGTAAAACCATACTTTGAGCTATTTAAAACTATTTTATCTGCTCACTTTGTTTCGTTAAAAATAAAGTTTAATCCTTTCCGAGATATGTTTCCAACCAACTATAAATAAAGGATATTGTCTTTGAATCAACGTTCAAACACAATAATGCTCTGACCAAAAGATATTTGTATTTCATTATGTTGGTTTTGGAGCTTGAGGTTTATGACGGACGTCATGGCCCTGACGGGGAGACCGTCACGGTCTCTAGGCTTGTTTTCCAAGTCGGACATCACAGATGTGACATGTTGGGGTTTTTAGGTTGGTGATGGGCACCACGCTGGTGACAGGTAGCCCGTCATGCTTCCAGTAAGACTGTAATTCGTCCAGTTGCTAGAATTAATTGTCGTTTTTTATTTTTCTTAGTTGTTGACTATTGGCCTACTGTTTGATGTTATTTTGATGTAACTTGATAACTAACCATGATTTTAATCGATTTAATGAGTTCATTGATAAATGATAAATTATGTTATGTGGTGCAAATAATGAATATTATGGTGATATTTATTGTGATTAAATGTTGTTGTCTGTTGATGTGTTTACCTATCATGATTATGTTGTTGGTATTATTAGTGTGGTGCACAGTCAGAACAGAGGCCATATATGCATGCGTCTAAGTGGATGTTGTTGAGTCACTCATTCATGGTTTACGAACTTCAGTTTAGTTTTGTTGTGCTATGGTCCTATGGTGGGTATTGAGAGCGAATAATTGATTCTGGTGGGAATCAATGAAGCGTTACCTATGGTGATTATAATGATTTTGGCGTGCTCTGATACCAAGAGGGAATCAGATCCTATGGTGGGGATCAGGGAGCCATATGGACATATGTTGTCCATAAACGGTAACACATGCATAAGAGTCGAGTTGTTGTCATGAGTCACATTGTATAAATGAGTTATATGCTTGATTGTGATTCTATATGATGTTGTGTTGGATGTGAGAATATGATTATGTGATTGATGTGGAACATGTGTAGATGTTTGTATTTTATCTTGCAGCTTATACCATTTAATTTATTGAAGTAAATTCTCACCCCCTTTGCTTTAATATTGTCCACCATGGACATCTTACATATAGTTAGGAATAGAGTTTGCTATTGTGAGTAGGAAATAACTCTTGGAGTTAATTTCATTAGTTTATCGTACTTTTAGTGATTTAATGCTCCGATTCTATAACACTAGGCGAGCGAACAATGTTATTTTTTATTATAATTCATTAATAGAGAGTTGGACGTTATACTCTCGATGTTTTGATTATTTTTATTGCGAAGGTTTTTTCCATATTTGATTTAATTTCAAATGAAGTATTTTTATGAAATTTAATAATTTTGAAGCATGCTTATTTGATGAATTCCACTACGATGATATCCTAAGTGAAGGTGAGTATGTGATGACAGGTTTACTTGAATGTTTTG